TTTCTGAAACTAAACAGGCTCTTTGGTCAGAGCTTTATTTACAGATGCTGCAACTGGAGCTAATATTCTGGCCCTGTGGGCACGGAGTGATATACTGGTTTCTCCTCCAGACTCTTTTCTCCTCCGATCCCTGCCTCTCCCCGCAGGTACTATGCAGGTTATTACAAGTCACATACCTGCGTAGTTCTCCCTGCCATGAAAAACAATGAGGCTGGAATGCTACATAGAAATAGTCTTAACATAGACACTCTGTGTCATGGACTGGACTGGACTGGACTGGACCGTCTTGAGGCTTTGCCACTGGCCCCTGGCCCATTGAGAACTGTTGTTGAGGGTACTAAAGGAACATCATGGTAGTGTGGAATGGTAGAAGCCATAGGTGGAAAAGTCTGAGCATCTGTTATGTTAGATGTCATGCAAACTGCAATGTAAAGACCCACTATGTGGGTCACAGCCAACATACACAGCACAGCCCTTTACCCCATCAGCTTAAAGGACTAACTCTGTCAGCTGGTAAAAGTGGTAGCCTGTTTTTCTTTATGACTGGGACACAAAACACACTGCACAAGAAGGTTGTATCATGGCAGCTTTTCATCTTGATAGTAGTAATTTTTCTATGGCAAAATTGCCCAGACATAATGTTTCTTAGTGGAAAGGCAAGATCTCTCATATCCTTAAACACCCGTAAGTGCCAGGCACTGAAGCCTAACAATGACAGAAATGTGCCCAGATCTTATCAAGCCCTCATTATCTATGGATTAAAGGAGGTCAGGATAAGGATCACCATTTTACCAGCGGGGAAACTGAGACACAGATAAGCTAAATGACTTACTCAGAGTCAGTTAGCACAGTCAATGACAGAGCTAGGAATAGAATCCAGATCTCCTGACTCCCAGTTCAGCCAATACAATGTGGTTGACTAGGTAGAGTAGTGAACTGAGCTTTTCTCTTAATAGGGTATGGGTTTTTTCTGGCTACATCCTCTTCTTCCTCCCGTTCAGCAGACAAGGTTCTTTGGGTGAATCTGATACCTTTATTAGACCAACTTAAATAGTTGGGGGAAAAATTTTTTAGCAAGCTTTCGGGTTTAAAAGCCCTTCATCAGGCTGCAGTTGGTGTGTGGTCTTCCTGGATGGAATGAATGCATGCTAAAGCTTGCTAAAGCATGTTTTCCAACTATTTAAGTTGGTCTAATAAAAGATATCAGATTCACCCAAAGAACCTTGTCTGCCTATGTCCTTAGACCACCACAGCTACAACCTACAAGCTTTCAGGTGCAATCACCCTTCTGCAGGCATAGGGAGTCCCTGCTGTTCTGAGATCTCCAAAGAATGAAAGAAGCAAAGTGTGACAGGATGTCAGTGGGAATGTAAATAGGTGGAAATTAGGGACACAAAAGGTAGAGAAGGAAAGGGAGGGGGTGAAAGTACACTTCTCTTTTTCTCTCTCTTCCTCCCCTCCCCTCCTTTTCTACCCTGTCTTCCTAATTTCCAGCTATTTTCTTTTTCAGAGACAGCCTCCTTTCTACCTTGGAAAACTACTACAGTAGAGTCTCCCTTACTTACCTTTGGCTTTCCTTCCCACACACCTCATTTTCACATCACACCGCCCACCCCCACCAGTCCTCCCGCACCCGACCCACCCTCCCTTCCCTGCTCTACCTTTTGTTTTCCTAATTTCCACCTATTTACAGTCTCACTGACATCCTGTCACACTTTTAGCTTCTTTTATTCTTTGGAGATCTCAGAACAGCAGGGACTCTATGCCTGAAGAAGGGTGATTGCACCTGAAAGCTTGCTAAGAACTTTTTTCCAACCACTCAGTTGGTCTAATAAAAGATATTAGATATTCATTTACCCAAAGAACCTGGCTTGCACCTGCTTCAATGTTTTTTTGGTACAGCACCCTCTATTGGGCATAATCACCCCTGTGTCCATAACACAGAAGCTCTATCCTTTCAAATCAAATCCTTAAAGTACACCTAAGGTGTTTAAACAGGCAGTTGTCCATTTCTTTGTTTGCCCCTTAGAGCCCAGTTCAAATAACTCCCAGCAGTTCCTGCTTCAGATCAGAGGCCAGTCATAGCTTGGGCCTACTCAACACTTGCAGTTAGTTTCTATAAGAAAACTAGATATTCAGATCTGGCCTTATCTTTCTGAAGAACCTGTACGTATCATAAAAGATGAAGTACTGTACAGATTTTGAGCCACTTGGACATGATAAACTTATACCTGATTGATTCTGCTGGACATTAAAACTGTTTCTTTTCTTTCTCCCTTTTAAAATAAGATGAAGTGAATCTAGGACTAGTGGGAGATGCTAGATTAGGGGTGGGCAAAATGTGGCCTGTGGGCCACATGCGGCCCGCCAGGCCATTTTATTGAGCCTGCAGAGCCCCTAAAACATTTAGAAAATTAATATTTATCTGTCCCTGGCTGCCTGTCACGCAGCCCTCGATGGCTTGCCAAAACTCAGTAAACGGCCCTCCTTCTGAAATAATTGCCCACCTCTGTGCTAGATTCACAACTGAGTGAAAATCCCTTTATTCTCAGTCAGTTCTTAGGCTCCCTACTGTGTTAGCCAACTGAGATGCTAATTAGCACCCCTAACGCTGGTCAATTCTGCTTAGAAGTTTAGCCATTCAGAATTAGCCTTGGAACAACAATAGCATCAAACAGCTTTAAGACAGTAGTGAATCTGCAGTCCCTACAAAAAAATGTAACCAGTGGCAGAAACTGAGCAGAAGGAAATTTCAGCCCAAGAAATTAAAGTCTGGCCAAGTTAAAATCAACGGAAAATAGGGTCTAATAACAGAAAGGGCTAATAACTGTGGGCATTTCCCCCATGTCCTCTATGATAAAAAAGAAGCAAACACACATCGATGCCATCACGAAGGGACTCTGCCCTCCTGAGGGAAATAGCACCTTTGGCTCTGAATGTTACTCTATCTGTCCCTGTGAGGCTGACTGCTGCATTCCTG